TTTTTTTAAAAAGGGAAATGCTAAATTTATAAAATGCTAAATTTATAAATTCCCTTAAATGACCCTCTCTGCCCTCTGGGGAGTATTAATATAAACTAGTATCAATGTTAAGCCTACTTTTAATACCAATGCACATGTCAGTTTCTTTTTAAAAACCAGAAAAAATTAGGACTAATAACCCCAATGTGTGTATTATCAGACATTATTTTTCTTAGGTCTAAATTAGAGTGTCATTTTTATAGATTTTATGGGAAAATATTTTTATTTATATACATTTTATTTTACAACAAATCCAACCAACAAAATTCTAGTCCTGAAATCTATTGACTGCACTTCAATTTAATACTAGTGCTGTTCTTCATTATATTAAGTAGTTATTTTTACTTAAATTCCTATATAGAAGGAGATACCTTTATTAAAACTTAATAGAGATTTAGCTTAATGTACAATCTAAAAATTTTGCTGTAAAAGCTACTCTCTGTACAATTAAACATTTAATCAAAGGAATACTTCATTTAATTTTATTTTTGGTGTCCCTGGGTGGGCTTGAACCCAAAAGCACTGTTTTAATTACTCTTTATAGATAAAATTTTATTTTCTTTTATTATGGAAAATATGACATTGAATGAATACTCAATTTTCTACCTAATATCATTCTACTCACAATTTAGTATCAAAGCTCAAAGTGAAGAAAATACGGCTAACCTGGGAAAATCCAGTGTTGTAATTTTCCTATAATTTCAGAAGTAACTACTGGCTATATTGACCATTTATTAAAAATATCTTTTTATATTGTATTTTAAAATAGTCATTTTTACCTTGTTGAAATTATTTTATCACAAAATTAAAATTTCTTATTTAGAGATACACTAAGTAAGGCGCTACAGAACGATTACCTTGAGGAATATGCTGCCTGTTCCTTTCAAGTCATTTGTTCCTTCCTGTCAGAGCGCTGGGCTTTGTCAATTTTAATGATTTTTCCCTTATTTCTATTAAAGACATTCTTTGTTAATAAAGACTATAACTTAAAGAGAGGAAAAATTAGCCACTTACTTTGCTTTAGCTTCAGCATCTTCATATGCTTTATTAGAAACATCATCCAAACCTCCGATCAAATGCTTGAAAGAGCTGCAAGAGGATAAACTATGATTAGGAAAAGTTCTCCACTGAGAAATAACAGGAATAATCTATAGAGTCATTTATTGAAACAACCTAAAAAAGGTATCAGTAAAAATGCATTCAAACATTTAATTTAGATGCACATTTATACGTATTAGTGATGGAGCAGTTGTACAGCTAAGTTTGCTGGGCCCAAAAACATATTCATGATATTTCTCCTGTTTAAAAAATATTCTGTGGGCAGCAATGAATGAATGGAAATCCAAATTCTCTGTAAATGTTCATTAAAATTATATAA